TCAAGGTGAGCGCTCTACCACTTGAACTACAGCACCACTTCCGGTTTTCTGGTGGTTTATTGGAGATAGGAGTCTCACGGTCTTTCCTGCCCTGGCTGGCTTTGAACCGCGATCCTCAGATCTCAGCCTCCTGAGTAGCTAGGATTACAGGCGTGAGCCACCAGCGCCTGGCTTAGTTCTTTTTCTTTTTCTTCAAAAGATAAATGTAACTCATTTTCAAAAGTAAATGAACTTTTGGCCAGCTTTATGATCCAGAAAAATCTTCCATAAGAACTTGGAAATTGTAACCCCTATACAGCATCTTTATAATAAAATACAATTAAAAAAGAATTAACTTGAATTAACCTGGAAATAGACCTTACAAATGTCATCTCCTGCAATGATGGTGTATCTATCTCCTAGTTCCTGTGGGAGGGAAGGATCCCAACTTCAGCAGACTAACTTCCAAGTTGCAGAATGATTTCCTGTCATCAGTGTGTGAGAATATCACTCCTTTTGTATAAAGCCAGTTATCAAATATAGATGGCTCCCCAATTTAGCAAGTGGATATAGGATGACATGATACATTGTGCTGTCACAGTCTCCTGAGGACTGATTATTATTTATCTTCAAAAGAAGTACATAATGGATCACATTAACATTACTATATAGAATGATAAGGAATCTTTTCAATTCACAAAAAGTGCCTGTGTGTTCTATGATACACATTTTTTTTTGTGGTTTAATGCTTACTGAATAACAGAACTGACTTTTTTTCTTCTCTGCCTTTATGGAGAGGTTTTTCTGGTTTGACAGATTTGTTACTAATTAATTATGCCAGTAATGGACTGGAGCTTGAACTCAGGACCTACTTACTGTTCTTTAGCTTTTTTTGCTTAAGGATGGAACTCTTAACACTTGAGCCATACCTCCTCTTCCAGATTTTAATTGGAGTTAAGAGTCTCATGGACTATCCTGCTCTGGTTGGCTTTGAACCACAAAGCACAGATGCCAGTCCCAGCTGGAATTACAGGCATGAGCCATGAGTGCCCAGCAGAAGATTTTTTCTTCAATATTTAAACAAAATGATAACTTTGTCATTTGTAAAGTTAAGAAGGTAAACTACATCTTTGTGACTCCTTATAAGGACTATATATTCTAGGAACTAATAAAACAGAAATATTTTCTGAGCCATATCCATTAATTTTCTTTTTAATCAATAAAGTAAAATCAGATATTGTCTCTCAAAAATCTTTTAAAATAAGTACCTTAATTTTGTATTTTCAGTAATTTTTTCATTGCGTCTTTCATATCTTTGTTCCTTAGACTATATATTACAGGATTAACCAGCGGAGTGACCACAGAATAGAACAGAGTTACAATTTTTTGCATTCCAGCTCTATGACCAGATGTTGGGCTTACATACATGACCATCACTGAGCCATAGAAAAGAGAAACCACAGCCAGATGGGAGCCACAGGTAGAAAAGGCCTTTTTTCTTCCAGCTGCTGAAGGGACCCTCAATACAGCTCGGAGGACCAAAACATAGGACCCCATGATGAAGAGAAAGGGAATAAATAAAAGCAAGGAACTTAAGGAGGAGCTAGTCAACTCTATCATGGGGTCTCTGGTACAGATAAGGGCTAGCAGTGGACCTGGGTCACATAGAAAATGGTCAATAATTCTAGATCCACAGAAAGTCATCTTGGAAATGACAGTGATGGGAACTAGGAACCAGAGGAAACCAAGTACCCAGCAGCTGATCACAAGGTTGTTGCAGAGATGTCTGGTCATAATGGTAGGATAGTGTAGAGGCTTACAGATGGCAAGATACCGATCAAAAGCCATAACTGCTAGAAAAAAACATTCTGTAGATCCCAAGGAAAAGAAGAAATAGAACTGGAGAAAGCAGCCAGAAAAGGAGATGACCTTGGTGTCAGAGAGGAAATTGGCCAACATGTTGGGGACTGTGGAGGTGACATACCAGATCTCCAGGAAGGAGAAGTTGGCCAGCAGGATGTACATGGGGGTGTGGAGTCTCTGATCCCAGTACACAGCACAGATGATGGAACCATTGCCCATGAGGGTGAGGATGTAGATGAAAGAGAAGAGCATGAAGAGGAGGATCTGGCTCTGCCTAGGACCAGGGAAACCCAGGAGGATGAAGCCAGGAATGGTACTGAAGTTGCTGAGGGTATTGATGTCTGTCATGTGTCTGTGAGCTGTAAAAGTGCCAGCAGTTACTGAATAATACAAAGACAAATTGTGATCCAGAAATGTCTTCAACCTATTTGAGAAATGCCATGTACATATAAATAATAATAATAATAATTATTATTGTTGTGCCAAGTCCTAAGGTTTGTATTCAGGGACTAGGCATTTTCTATGAGCTTTTATGCTCAAGGCTAGCATTACCACTTGAACCACAGCTCCACTTCTGGCTTTTTGGCGGTTAATTAGAGATAAAAGTCTCATGGACATTACTGATAGACTGGTTTTGAACTTTGATCCTTAGATCTCCCGAGTAGCTAGGATTACAGTGTGAGCCACTACTTTTGTATAATTTGAAAATACTGTTCTCTTGGACACTAGTATGTAAAAGACACTGGAAACATGAATTGCTAATGGATATACATAGAAATTCCCTTGTTGTGAAATGGAAATATGCAGATTAAATAAGCCAAAAATTCACTGAATCATCATGAAGAAAAGTGCTACTGTAGCTATCATCGAGGTAAAGAATAGAACACCCTAGACATTTCCTCTCGTGCTATATTCTAATCACTACCTCAACTTCTCTGCTCTCTACCTGCAATATTCCTTCCCTATGGAAATCATTTTTTTGTTTTTTTAAAAATAATTTATCAACCAAATATGTACTTCTAAATAATTGTTACTATTTTTGTCTGCTTTCTTTTACTTTGCATAAGTGTAATTGTACTACTCGACTTTTGGATACTTTCTTTATTTCAATAATAAGTTGTCAAATTATGTTGTATCTATCTACAGGTAATTAATTTTTACTGTTCTATACTATTGCATGTGTGATTAAAGCGTTACTTTAGACGTTGTAGTGTAGATGACTATTTTGGTTGATTTCTAGTTTGATGCTCTTGGAAGAAATTTTAGTATGCCATGTAGTTTAGCTCTCCTGGCTCACATCTCCAAAAGGTGTATGTATCTTCAATTGTAATAAGCAGTTTTCTTTGATTTTTTTTCCTCCTCTTCCTCCTCCTCTTCCTTCTGTTCCTCTTCCTCCTCCTCCTCTTCCTTCTGTGCTGCTGCCGCCACCGCCACCTTTTTCTTTATTCCTCCTTCTTCCTCTTTCTTCTTCTTCCTCTTCCTCCTCTCCTTCTTCCTTCTTCTCCTCTTCCTCTTACTTCTTTTATTCTAGTATTGAGCTGGTCTCACACTTTTCATCTTCTTGTGTAGTTAGGCTTATAGGTAGCTGTGTACCATCTACATAAAGTAGATTTTTGCACAATTTTTAAGTTCCTATTGACAGTGTATGAGAGCTGTCAGTGTTCTCTAATGTTAAGGTCTTTACCAGGGTACTGAGATATGAGAGATAGATGCATTTTCACAACTTGTCTTTTTCTTTCTTTCTTGTAATAATATCACATTGGGCAATATTCTTCTTGGCAGTATTTTCTCTTCAGAACAGATGGTTATATAATTTTTTTCCTTTAAAGAGAATATTTTATGTGTGATAAAGAAAAATAGTCTCCAAAACCTAATGTGGAACTCTTTAATACAGGATATAATTTACAGGAGCTCTGAGAATGTCATTATCCATGTAGAAGTCTGTGATCTACCTCAGGACATTACCAGATATTTCTCTCCTATATGTCTCAGAGAGAGTAGTTGAATTAGTTCATTTAGGAATATCTTCCTGAAGAGTAAATTTCAAAGAGAAATTTCTTTTAGCCTTGATATCAATTTGCCTGAAAAGTTCTTATGTAGAGATAATTGGGAATTGAGCTTAATGTTTGCACCTAAAAAACTTTCACTAAAATTTACAAAATAAATGAATAAATGCACTTAGTTTATTTATAAATAAAATTTATTTATGAATAAAATTAAAGAGAGAAAGGAAGGAAAGAGATCATAGCTACCAAGAGCAAAGCTTAGATTGTGTGTGACTGGATACAGTATAGCTGAAACCATTTGGAATCACTTGTTTCCATTAAAATAGTTGACTAAGCTATTTGATAATGCAATCTGCTTCTATTAATGCAGTTTTGTCCATCAATGCTAGATACAGCTAAGGGATAGTCAGCATTAATATGATTTTTCTGGGATAGCTTTTTGTCTGTGTTTGAAGTAATGTGTTTAAAAAGTCCCTTACCTTTCAATCTAGTTATTAAAATGATGGAGCCTGTCATTATTGATACAGTGTTAAAGTAGATTTATCACAAAATTGACAAAAAGAGAAAACTTTTTTCCTCCCTTTCTAGGCACTCCTGAGCAGATGTCCTATGGACTGTTTTGCTTCTGCACAATGGCTTCATGTTATGCTGAATTAAAAAAAAATCTGAACAATATTAAAAATGAACAATACAATTTGTGGGTAGGGACAGTAGGAAAAAACTGGGAGATTATGAGGGAAGGGGTATCATTGTCTAAAAAGAAATATACCCTTTACCTGACTTATGTAACTGTAACTCTTCTGTACATCAACTTCATAATAACCATAAAAACTTAAAAAATCCCAACAATCTTTGTTTACTAATCTTGCAGTAAGGTCTTCAGTTTGGTTATTACAGCTCTTTGTACATAAGACGTACATAGAAACATGAATATCTAGTTTATTTTATCTGGATTGCTATATGATCAATCAATCAATTGCAAATTAGTTTTGGAAGTTGGTGTAGTTGACAGTAATCTATTTGGAATTTCCCAAAGAGTAAGTCTTCTGTGGCTAAATGGCAGTCAGTATTTGTCAAATAGCAGCTGGTTGCAGCATATTTTTTGTTTTTTTCTTGTTTTTTTCAGGGAGGGGAAAGAAGATTAGCAAACTAATCAATATTTTAGAATTTATAAAATGAATGCAAAAGCTTTCTTCTGCTAGTGCTAGATCTGATGTTTGTGACAGTAGGATGCATGTGGTAAATAAAATTTCCCAAGAAATTTATATTTTAGTTTATATTGCCTCAACCTTTTTAGTATCTTAGCCCTGGGAAGAACAGATCTTGATTCTTGTATGACAAAATTACATTTTTTGAATGTCTTTTCCATTCTTATTTTAAGAACTTGTGAGGGACTGAGATATCAAGTATTTCTTTCTTTTCAAGATGTGCTTAAATCAGACATAAAAAATAAGTTTTATATAATACTATTTTCATTCAGGATTAATATTAATGATATGCCATTTCTGAGGAAACTGTTTAATCAAAATCTCTGATCTTCAAATGAGGCTGTTAATAAGTGTTGGGGCCAGAAGGTACATGGACAATGAATAGAGGTGCTAACTAATTTCCTGTAACATGTGAAGGTGATTTGGATTTTAAATTCTATAAAATTATCAATGTGTTTTAGGTCTGCAGCTTTAATAATAATTGGGAGAAAAGTCATTCAATTCCTTGCAAATGAATAGAATTTGCTGCTAATGATTGAACATCTCCCTCACCCCCCCCTTTTTGGTCTTAGTCTTGAGACTGGAACTCAAGGCCTAGGTGCTATCCGTGAGATTTTTTTTACTCAAGGCTAGTCCTCTACTAGTTGAGCTATAGCTCCACTTCTGGCTTTTTGGTGGTTAGTTGAAGATAAGAATGAATAGAATTTTCTGTCTGGGCTGGCTTCAAACCATAATCCTCAGATTTGAGCCACCTAAGTAGCTAGGATTACAGATATGAGCCATCAGAGTCCAGCTCAAAATACATTTTAATGCTTGAAATAGTTAAATATTCAATAACTTTCTATTTTAGACTACTCTATTTTAGTTACATTTCTTTTTCATATATATAATTCTCTATATAAAACTATATATGTATATAAACTATATATAACTTTATATAATAAAACTATATATAAAATGATATAAATACATATAACTTTTAATGTTCTAAAATGGCTATAATCATACCTTTAAAAGCTGCGAATTAAGCCAGGCATTCATGCCTTATGTCTGTAATCCTAGCTACTACCAAGCTGGGATCTGAGGATTGCAGTTTGAAGTCAACCTGGGCAGGAAAGTCCATGAAGTTTTTACATCCAGTTAATCACCAGAAAGCTAGAAGTGGAGCTGTAGACTGCAAACTTTTTTTTTTTGGGGGTCCGGTCGTGGGTCCTGAACTCTGGTCCTGGGCACTGTCCCTCAGCTCTTCAGCTCAAGGCTAGCGCTCTACCACTTGAGCCACAGTGCTACTTCCGGCTTTTTTCTTTTTTCTTATGTGGTGCTGCGGAATCGAACCCAGGGCCTCATGCATGCAAGGCAAGTGCTCTACCACTGAGCCACCTTCCCAGCCCGATTGCAAACTTTTAGGGAAAAAAAATCCCAGGCTCTGAGTTCAAGCCCCAGTACCAGAAACAGTTTAAGAAAGATAGGCTATATGTGGCTAGAATAAATTCAGAGAGCTGTAGATAAAAGCTTTTAAATTTTGCAGCTACATTATTGTTTTACTATTGTAAGCTCTATATCACCTTTTACCTGTATCAGGAAAGGGAATCCCAGACTGAAGCTTCTTACAAGTTCCTTTCTTATTTTCTTAGAGAGCTGTGTCCGTCTTTTTGGCAGGAACTGTTGGAGAGGAAAAGTGCAAATTGTGATGAAGATGCTTGATTTTGTTTGAGGCAGGATGAAGAGGCAATAAGCAGAGCCTGCTAGGAAGCAAATTACCCAGTTCCTCCTGACCCTTGAGGATCCACTTACTTCCAAAAGCAGAATAGTGTCAAGAGACAGCTGTGTGCTTGTTATTTAGTTCCCTTGGGGCATGCCTTAATTTCTATTTTTAAAAAGGCAAGTTGATATGCGTTTGCTTCAAATTTCTTATAAGTGAGACACAATACAACTAACTAACTTACTAACTGGGTTGATTAATTAAACAACCAATACTTGTGGCCAGTGAAAACTCTTAGAAACCTGAGGGCTTCTCCTCAAGTGCCTGCAAGTGAGCTAACATTCACAGGAGTATGCATGCTGGTCTTCCATGCACAGCAGTGCTGTGGTACTCTCTTGGAATTCATCTTATAGAATACAACCTCATTAAAGG